GAGAGAGAGAGAGAGAGAGAGAGAGAGAGAGAGAGAGAGAGAGAGAGAGAGAGAGAGAGAGAAGAGAGAAAGTGGAGAGAAAACCGAACTAATCTCATTTTTTTCCTTCCCAAAAGTAAACAACACCCCCCTCCCACCCTCCCTCCCTAGTGTCAATTGTTTGGTCGTGTTTCCCTCTTAAGAGCAAAGGTAAACAGCTGCTCTGTCCCTTCCCTTAAAAGGCTGAGGGTCAACAGAAGGGAGGTGTCATCATCTTTCCCTTTTTTTTTACTTTTTTCTTTTCTTTCTTTTTTTCTTTTCTTTTTCTTTTTCTTTTTTTTTTTTTGTCTTTTTTTTTTTTCTTTTTCTTTTCTTTTTTTCTTTTCTGTTCTTTTTCGTTTTGAATGGGGTGAATAGAATTATGTATCGACGCACACGTCACGCACACGGACACACACGCACACACACACACACACACACACAGCACACACACACACACACACACACACAACCACACAACACGCACACACACACACACCACACGCACGCACGCACACGCACACGCACACACACCACACACACACACACACACACACACACACACACACACACACACACACACACACACACACACACACCACACACCACACACACAACACACATTCTCACGCACCCACGCCACGCTGTTCCAAAACGGCCTGACAGCTATCTGGCGAACCCATTCACGCCCATCTCGCTCTGAAGGTGGGCGTCGTAACAGCCGAGGACGCCCATTCACGCCCGCAGTCACACTCGGTGGGCGGCGGGCGGACGGGAATCGCCGTCGAGTTTTTTTTTCTTTCTTTTTCTTTCTTTCTTTGCTTTCTTTCTTTCATTCTCTCTCTCTCTCTCTCTCTCTCTCTCTCTCTTCTCTCTCTCTCTCTCTCTCTCTCTCTCTCTCTCTCTCTCTCTCTCTCTCTCTCTCTCTTCTCTCTCTCTCTCTCCTCTCTCTCTCTCTCTCTCAACCCTCTCCCTCTCCTCTCTCTCTCCTTCTCCTCTCTCCTCTCCCCTCTCCCCTCTCTCCTCCCTCTCCTCTCTCCTCTCCCCCTCTCTCCCTCTCTCCTCTCCTCTCTCTCCTCTCCCCCCTCTCTCCCTCCCCCTTCTTCCTCCTGCATCCTTTCCCCCTCTCCCCTCCCTCTCCTCCTCCCCTCCCTTTCACCCCTCCTCTCCCCTCCCCTCCTCCCCTCACCCCTCCCTATCCCTCCTTCCTCATTATAATATAAGGAACGATTATGAAGAATCTCCGCCCTTGCTCGGTTCCTCCCCTCACTCGCCCTCACTCTCCCTCCCTCCCTCACTCAGCGAGCCCTTATGGAGAATCGTCCCTTCGCCCTGCCCCCCTCCTCCCCCTCCTCCTCCTCCCCTCCCCCCTCCTCCTCCTCCCCTCCCCCTCCCCCCCTCCTCTCCTCCCCTTTATTCCCCTCCTCCTCCCTCCTCCTCCTCCTCCCCTTTATTCCCCTTCCCTCCTCCTCCTCCTCCCCTCCCCTCCTCCCTCCTCCTCCTCCTCCTCCTCCCCTCCCCTCCTCCTCCTCCTCCCCCCCTCCCCTCCTCCTCACCCCCTCCTCTTCCTCTCTCCTCCCCTCCTCCTCCTCCTCCTCCTCTCCTCCTCCTCCTCCCCCTCCCCTCCCTCCCCCCCTCCCCTCCCCCCCTTTATTCCCCTCCTTCCCTCCTCCGTGTGTTGCCTCGACGCTGCTGGCTCTTCGGTTGATGCATCCTATATATATATATATTTTTTTTTTTTCTCTTTTCTTTCCTTTTTCTATATCTTTGCTTCTCTTTCTCTTTTTTTTGGTTTCTCTCTCTTCTCTCTGCTTTCTTTCTCTCTGCTCTCTTTCTCTGCTTCTCTCTCTCTCTCTCTTCCTCTCTCTCTCTCTCTCTCTCTCTCTCTCTCTCTCTCTCTCTCTCTCTCTCTCTCTCTCTCTCTCTCTCTCTCTCTCTCTCTCTCTCTCTCTCTCTCTCTCTCTCTCTCTCTCTCTCTCTCTTTCTCTTCTCTCTCTCTCTCTTGCTCTCTCTCTCTTTTCTCTCCTTGTGCTTTCGCTATCCATCACTCCCTTCCTTCTCCTCCCTCCCTCCCCTCCCCACCCTCCCCGTTCCCCTCCCCATCTGCCTCCCTCTCTCTCTCACTCCCCTTTTTTAACCCCCTCTCCTCCCCACTTACACCCCCCCCCTGGATTAAGTGGTTGACAGACGTGCAATTGATAGAGCCACAGGGGTTGTCTGTGGCCCGAGGTCAGTGTATGTGCAGTGGGTGAACGGGGTGTTGGGATGTGGGGTGCTAGGGAGTTGGTGTTGATGTTTTTTTTTTTTTTTTTTTTTTTTTGGGGGGGGGCGGTTTTGCTTGTGGGTTTTTGACTAGGGGGTGTTATTTGCAAGAAGAGGGGGGGTGAAGTTTGGTATACAAACTCAAACCATGTATTTTTATAGAGATATGTGTGTAAAAGTTTTTTTCTGTCTATCTGCTTATCTATCTGGTGGTTAAGCTATCATTCCATGTCTCTATTTGATATATATGTACATACACACACCAAATCATTTACATAATGATGTAGATCTACAAATAATCGCTTTCTTTCCAGCTTTCTTATTTATTTGTAAAGCCAACTCTTTTCTTCCTTTATCAGGAAATGAATAAACGATAAAAGTTTATATTAAGTACTATATGATATGTGAATAAGTGTATGATTAAATATGAGAATATACAACAACTGTTTAGTATATAAGAATATTCAGTGTTACGTTAGGATTTCTAAAGATACATAATTAATTATATAATAAAAAAAATGTAAATACATATACGCGTTATAATAAGGATATCAGTGTTTTATTACGATATAGAATGATAATTGATAATATAGAAAACTATCTGATATAATTACGATATATAATGATAATTGATGATATAGAGAACTATCTGATACAGTTACGATATATATTGATAATTAATAATATAGAAACCGATTTCATATAATTACGATACATAATTATGATTAATAATATAGAAAAACTATCTGATACGATTACGAGATATAGTAGTTAATAATATAGAAACCGATCTGATCTAAATAAGGCATATAAATAACACGACCCGCTCCCTTGCAGGTATACTGGGTGGCCCCTCTGCTGGGCGGGGCAACGGCCGGCCTCATCTACGAGTACATCTTCAACCCCCACAGACTCCCTCGCTCGCGAAAGGACTCTATTGATGGAGGTAAGGAAGGACCCGGGGGTGGGACGGGCTCGGGGAAGGGGGGGGAGGTGTGAAAGGACGCGTGTGGGGGGGGAGGTGTGAAAGGACGCGTGGGGGGGGGGGGTATCCGTGCGGGGTTTGGTGTGAGGTGTGTGTGTGGGGGTGCGTGTGGGGGTGGGTGGGGTGTGTGGGGTACGTGTGTGGTGGGGGGGGTAAGTGTGTGTGTGTGTGTGTGTATGTGTGTGTGTGTGTGTGGAGAGAGAGTTGGGTGGTTGGGGTGGGTTGTGTGAATGCATATGTATAGTGCTCATACAAATATAGGCATGGGTGCATATACACTCTCTTGCTCATACACGCACATGCATACATACATACATTTATACATTTACACATATATACATACATACATATGTACGTACATACATATGTACATACATACATATTACATACATACATATACATATATACATATATACATATACATATACATACACATACACATACACATATATATATATATATATATATATATATATATATATATATATATATATATATATATATATATATATATATATAATATATATACACACACGCATACACACATATATACATAACATACATACACATATATACAGACATACATACATATACATGACATACATACATGCATAGATATACAAGTACACAAACGTACACAAAAACAAACACGCAACCCCTTAGGTTACTCTCCCTCTCAGGTTGGCAGAGAGGAAGGGAGGATGAATGGTAGGTTGATGGAGGGGGGGGTGGGAGAGAAAGGGTGTGAGAGACACAGAGAGAGACACACAGAGAGACACACAGAGACACACAGAGACACACACACAGAGAGAACCACAGAGACACAGAGAGAGAGAGAGAGAGAGAGAGATAATATTATTGTTAATTTTTTTATTTTTATTATTTGTATGGGTAAGGATATATGAGACATTTAGAGGGAGAAAAAGAAAAAAAAAGAGAGAGAGAAGAGAAATGATAGAGTAGAGAAGTTTAAAAGTGAATGAAAATTGATTTTATTTATCTATTCATTTCCTTTCTTTAATCAGAATATATATATTTTTAAATTGCATGGCAAAATGTAGTGTTAACGTTAGGCGTTTCCTCTCCATATTCATAAATGTCTCACCTTTAATATTCACGGAGAGGAATTTACAGAATTAAGTTAAGAAGCATTCCTTCACTCTCACCCTCTGTGGAAAATGATCAAGCGTTTTCACATCTCCTTTAATGCGTCTGATTTCATTATTTACCCATTTGTTTTCTGTCGTCTTCTTTTTTTCTTGTCTGAAGAAGATGGATTGAGGTTTCTTTAATGTTGAATTTTTGAGGTGATACTTTTTTCTTTTTCTTTTTGATTTTTTTTTTTAACACTTTTTGTCCAGACAGTTTGGTGTAAAGTTTGACCAGGTGTTTGACCTTTAAGCATAGACAAGAGACATGATATAAAGGTTATACGTTAAAAAAAGTTATTAGTCTTGTAAGACAAGAAAGAAATTTAGGAAAAGTTTCAAAAAATGAAATTGTTCATTGGTAAAATAGATATCTTAGCGTAATCTGAATTTTCATATAGTCTTTATTTGCCATTGATGTGCCAGTTTTGGTTTAAATGAAGGAAAAAAAAAGAAAATTTGAATTTGCTTTCTTTTGGCTAACAAAACTAACCAAAAGTTAACATAATACAATTTCATTACTATAAACCACTGAACCCTATAGATGTATTTTTTTAAGAGCTTAGGAAAAGAAAATAACTAATGACTGAGTTATTGTAATGATGATGTTTGTTCTGTTATCTACATCTGATCAGGGATGCAATATGCTTTTAATGGTGTTATTTTTTTCTCTCTCTCATTTTAGAAATAAACAGTGTTTGAGAACACCACTGATCAGACTAGATTGATTTTTTGATAGATGGCTGGGAGTTCAGACATTTGTAAAAAGTAAAAAGTCAGATGTTAATTGGTGATACATAAAGAAATGATAATCTGTTTTGATTATTTTATTCAAGATTTTATCCGTTTTTATTGTTTATCCGAGATAGAAAAATATCAATTTTTTATGTTATATGGTAATTAACTTTTGTTTAATTTCATGCTATTCATGTGAGCTGTAATGTATTCTATGTTCACTAGCAGATACATCTTTGTCAGATTAAAGCCAAATAATGCATTAAATAACTGATGTTTCAGTGAAGAAAAAATAGATCAGTAGATTTAGAAATGATTGCAACTTTCTTGTCATTAGAAATATCAGCGATGTTTTTAACAGGAGAGGAGGTGTCTGCGCTAGCTTCCTTGGCAAGCTTTATCAGCCTGGCTTTTGTGTCTCTATTTTTCTGTCATTATTATTATTTTTTCCATGTTTTATGTGCATTTCTACTCATATCTGGCTGACATCAGGCTGGAATTACATACTGACTTTCCTTTCAAATGCCTGTTTTCTCTCTCTGTTTATTATTTTATGTGTGGCTTTTGGCATCAGTTAAGCAGTATTATGTATTGTTGTGTTCATTTCATTTATCAGTCAAGACTGTTCACATTATGCAAGAATTGTAAGATATTTTTTTAAGCATTTATGGCATAGACTAAGAAGTATTAAGTAATATTTAAGGCAGCTACAAGTAGCAGGTGTTATCTGTTAACCTCATTCCAGATGTAATTTATGAAGGGATCAGGTTAATATCAGTGTCCTTGCAAAGGAGATTTCTTATAAGTATTCGATAGCCATAGTCCTTAACTGCCGGCTACTTGAGAGTTAGGATCTGCGTCCTCTGGTGAGACAAGGGCCGGTAAGGGTGACCTCGTGGGTATGTGTTACAGAAGAAGGGGTGGAGTCCTATCCCCTGAACACTGTTGGTGGGCCGGGGATGCATGGAGGGCTGGGGGGGCATCAGTCCCCGACCAGGATGCCCTTCCAGTACGAGCTGCAGCACGAGGCGCAGTACGATGCCAGACTCTATCGGGCGTACCCACCCAACAACCGGGCATGAAGCACCCAGGTACCAGCACTCGCACCGGCACACACAGCAGGGACAGATCTACTCACATTAACACAGAACAGAACCCCATTACCTTGTACGACTATGAAGTGGCACTAATATGTATATTTATCTTAGTTTTATATATTCACTCACAATGGATCTTATCTAAATCTAGTCAGTCCATAATGATTTATGTCTCGTTTTTTGTGATTTTTAACGTGATCAAAATTTTAACATCCTGTACTAGTATATATGTCTCTCCATTTACCTTGCTCTGTATAGAATAAATTCTCATGAGACCTGCCAAGATATGGACTTTCAGCAAATACAAATTAATGAGGTTCTTATAATTATATTTTTATATTACAATATTAATACTCTCACCAAGCTTTTGATTGCTGTAGATAGAGCACTTGCACATTTGCTGATTCATAACATGTTAAAAGCTGAACACCCTGTTTTTTAATGTGAACACTCCTGCACTGTAATGTAAGTTTTGCAATCTACACATACACAGTGCAACAGTGTGTTTTGCAGTCACTGATATATTTCTCAGATATTTGCAGTTGAAGGTTATTTGTTGTATTATGGGACTAACTGACGTAGAACATGTCTCGGCTTTCCCTCTTTATTTATTGTTGTCCATGGTTTTGTAATGACTAATTTTGTTGATAAAAGTTGTGTTATAGTAGTATATTTTGCCACTAATTGTACCCCTATTGTCATTGTAATTAAAAGTAGCTACAAAGATTTAAACGCCAGCTATTGTATAGACAAAGCCATAACGAGAAAAAAAACTATAATGGTTGTGTTACAGTTGCAATTTTCCCTTTTCATTTTCTTTTTTTTCTTTTTAGGATTTGATTGTTGTTCATGTCATTATGTGCTATATATGAATAGTCCAACAAAATGAAATTTCCTAATCTTACCAGACCTTTTTGTGAAAGAGAATTGAAATCTTTTTAGATCCACCCATACATTCATTGAAGGAATATTATTCTTTGAAAAAAAAAAAGGACAGGAAAATAAGCAATGCATACAAAAACAAGGTCACCTGAACATCATTTCCATTACAAAGGATTTTCTTGAAGGGAAAGTTAAACCTAACAGATGAGAATTCACGTACACTGTATTGACTACTGGCGACATCCCTAGCAGAACTGAACAGCTGACAGAGGTGTGTGCCAACGTGTGCATTTTGTATGGCTACTGGCTCGTGCGTTTGCAATATATGTGTGCATTGTCCTGTTTGTTTGCTAATTTTTTTGTTGGATGTGTGTATGTTTCATTTTCCTTACCCTTGTTTGTTTTTTTAAAAGAAAGAAAGAAAAAATGCATTTTTTCTTTTTATTTTTTGTATATGCAACATTGCATTTGATTCCTCCCTTTTTTTGGCAAAAGTTGATACCCTATTTTTAATCTTTTGCCCTCGTTCATTTTATTTGTGAATTAGTGCGTGGGACTTGTTTTTAAAAAATTTCCTGACGCTTCTGCTGGGTGTGACGGGAGAGCCTGTGCTGTGTCTTACTAATTAGGTCTGATGCTTGCTGGAGGTCTTGACGCAACCCCTCTTTTTGTTCGAGAATAAAGTATGATCTTGGCAGCCTAGTTTGATTTTTTTTTCTTCGTTTTTCTTTTTTTTCTTTTTTTTTTTTTCTTTTCCCAGACGAAAATGGAGTATGGAATATATATGATGTATGTTAAATGCCCGAGACACTAGTCTTTATTTTATGTGAAAAAGAATCATTAGGCATATTTAAAGGTGATAGAGGAATTACCCAGCCTATTATGGTTTAGCAGATGCATTAGTAATTTTTTCTGCCATTTTTTTTAGGGTATGCAAAGCCTATAATTTTGCTCTAAAATAGTGCTTATGGTGGATCTTGAAGAAGCAGTTCCTATACAGACATATGTAGCACTCAGGTTTTTATATGTATTAGTATATTTTGGTCTTTGTGCTCATCAAATTTGTATCTTACTCTGAAGTTGATGAAAAGTAGTAGTGGATTATTTTCTTGTGTACCACAATAACATTTGCCAGTTAGTTTGGAAATGGCTCAGTTTATATCATTATTAGGGTTTTTAGGGAGATATTTTATAACATTTGGAACCTAATAATTGTACATTTTTCTGTTGACCAATTTTTATATATGCATCTCATATACATTTCTTTTTGTAAAAAAGCAGTTTGCCATTTGTGTTTACATTGATATTTATTGCATAAATACACCAATGAAAGAGACAGTGGAAGAAATCCATAGCTTATTTTTTTATTTTTGATAATTGTTATTGTTATTTTCTTTACTCTTTTTTTCTTTTAACTGTTAGGCATTTTCACTAGCTTAGGGAAACAGATTAGTTTATAATCATTATATTCAGAAACCCAGACTGGCTGACAAACTCCAAAGCTTCAGCCGAGCAATAAACCTAAAACAGTAGAAGTTAGGAGTCTTAAGAGCAGACACGCCCAACACAGAATTAGTGTCATATTGATTGGATGGTCAGAGAGAAGATGGATATCTTTTAAACAAAAAATGGCACATCATCACAATTTCTCTTAACCATTGTCAACCAGCTGATGAAAACTACATCAGACCTGACATAGACGGGTTTTGTAAAAGCCATTACCTTTATCCGAGAAGCTAAATAGCCATGCTGTGACGATTTTAAATAACAAGATAAATTGCCAAACCTTGACAATTTTGAATATGCTGTACATTAACAGTATTGATGAGCAAGGTAGTGGACTTCATTGGTTGGGAAAATTCATAAAGATCAGTTAAATAGATCCATAGGATGCTATCTCTTACGTAGTCTAGGGGATTTTCCTTGTAAAGTAGCATTCCTTAAATCCCAGACTATCTATTTTTGTAAATTTATATGGGACAATTTAAACTATGTAAATATATAATTAACCTCTCTATGGAAGTCTTATAAAGGCTGTCACAACCTTTTGGAGCATTTAAATGCATCTTAAACTAACCTATTTTAAGTGAACTAAACAGGACAAGTGCGTCTTAACAGAAGTTTTATTATTGACCCCATAACTAACTGTCTGATGAAACTTCACACTGTGGACTGTCTTATAAAAATCATGTAAATCAGTTGGATGTAATTTGACTGTTGGGATCCTGTCTCCTTGTAGCTACTAACAAAACAGGATTACAAATTTCATTTTCTGAATTCTTTGATTCTATATGTATATACAATGCCTATGTATATATGGTTGTGTGTATGTGTATGAATAAATATATATATATATATATATAATATATATATATATATATATATATATATATATATATATATATATATATATATATATATATATATATATTATGTATCTGTTTATACATATATGCATGTATTTATATATACCCACATTCATATCTGCCCATACATGATTGTTTATTAATGATTATGATTGTGTTTTTCCCTATCCTGCCCCACCCAAATTGTCTCTTTTGGTAAAGTTCTTTCAGGACGGACTTCATTGTAATATGGTATTAATTGCTATAATAATAACTAATTATAAATATTACTTCACAATGTCTGCTTTGTGACAACCTACTGAGCTGTAACATTTTGGAGTAGAGACACCCCAGTTTTACTGCCCCTTTTGTTGATTACCTTTAAATTTGGTAGGAATTAGACTTTACAATTTGGAAAATCCACACAGACTAACCCTATTTTAACCCTCCAGACTCGTCAAGTGTTGGCAGTGATGAAGACGCGTACGACGAGTGTTCCAAGCCGCCACCAAGGTACAATTACAATGCGCTCAGAGCCCAGCACTATGACCAGTACAGGCCCGCCAACACTTCAAACACTACCTCTCCACTAGGTAAGTGATGGATATTCACAACTCCTTACTGACCAGTTATAATTGCTTGTAGGTGGTGAGTATGGAACACAACAAAAGAGATGATAATGATGATTTGAGGATGAGTATGTTCATTTTAAAAATTATTGATAAGTAGGGAAAGTAATGATGAAACTGCAGGAGTTACTTGAATTCAAATGTACACATAGAGGTAATGTAAATTGAATGTTGAAGAAATTTGTGTCAGTATTAACTTGAACTTGATATGCCTCTTATTGTTTAAGAATAATTAAAGTTATTTAGAACTCCATTTCAAGATCTATTACCAGCTACAAGGTCATCTCTGATATGTTTTCTTCCTTTTTTTTTTAGGCTATCCAGTCAGCATGTACGGACACTCTGGAACACCATCTGTTTACAACGCATCAACTTACAAGTATGATAGTGGTTTTGTCACCAACAAGGAAGAGATCTACTCTGGCTCCAAGAGCATGTATGCCAAGTCTCCTCCTCTGCCACGCTCCTCCTCCCTTAATCGCTCCCAGTCTGTCTACACCAAGCCGCCACCTCCACGCATGGATAACTACTCGAGGAACCTTGCTCAGTCTCAGAACCTGTGCCCGAAGTCTCCTGCAACTTTCACAGCTCTTTCCCACAGCGAGAGTATGTACAAGAATAACCCACGCCAGGACTCCCTTTACATCACTAGCAAGTCTGGCATTGTGAAACCCGAGCCTGTGTACGGGACAGCCGCATACAACAAGCAGCATGACTCAGGTGATTCCAACTACTCAACCTACCGTGGCTCTACAGGCTACAGCTCATCGCGCTCCTCTAACCCTGGTCCTCCCATTCCCATGAGCCGCACCCGTCAAGACAACCTCACACCTAACTCGAATGTCTCAGCCCATTCTGGACTTGTGACACCCAACTCCGTGGCTTCATGTTACTCTCCAAACCCACAGTACTGAACTGGACTTACTCGCCAAGCACAAGGAAGAACTCTCAAATATCACTAGCTATAATACACTAATAAACTGATATTTTTGGCTACAGACTACTACTCAAAAAGATCAAAAAGAAAGAAAAAAAATAGCATAGAATTTCCCTATAATGTTGTAGAATGATTAGTGGTTTTTGAAGTTCATGGTACTGGTATTATCTTTTAGAAATATAATATCATTCCACTTTGGGTTTATTCTTCTTTTTGTTAATTACTTTGAGATTGTAAAAGAAAACAATTTGATTCTTACACATTTGTGAATCCTTCGTAAGTTTTTACTCTTTGGACATCAGTTGTTTAAACTAGTACACAATTTTCAGAGCAATATTAAGGATTTAAGAACTTTCATTTAAGCCAGTAACTCAGGATTGTGAAAGTACCTTGTATTGCTGTCGTAAATTTTCCCCCTAGTTTGTTTTCACAGTCACCTAATTTTTAAAAATGTTAATTTCTTACCAGTCAACCTCTATCTACAGGTGAATTGATATACAGTATTCTGAGGCTGTATACCTGTATGTACTTTTGAAAGGTTAAAACATCACCCACTCTCAGTGAGACGTTCCCAAGCTGGAGTGTGTTTTTAATGGGAGTGCCTGGTGCATGTTTATCTTGTGTGTTGATGCAAATATAAGTCCTTTGTGTAAGTCTTTGTGATACTGTAATTGGTTGACGTTGTTGTGACTTCAATATATTTTGTGAAATCAGTGTGGAAGTAGCTTATCAAAGGGTGTAAAACAAATGTGTTTTGCACCTTCTGCTTGCCATGCAAGCAGTCTTAATGCCATCAGGGAAGGAACAAATATTTCTCTCTGCTGTTTTATGATACACTTTATCTAGGTGTGTTCTTGTGTGGTAGAGTGAGGCTTCGACTTCAGTCCCAATTAAGATTTTAAGATGGGCATTTTGACTGTGAGTGATGAATTTTTTAAGCAGTACAGATAAAGCATACCCATTCAGAACTAAGATATTGTAAAAGTTATAACAAAAGATAAACTCCAATGACAGTTTAAGGTTTGGCTGACCAGAGCAGCACTGTTTGGTGATGAAAAAAAAAAAGAATTTTTAAACATGATTGGGAAAATACACCAAACAGAATCAGATTCACATGTTACTGTCTGTGTGGTGCTTCTTGAACAAATTATGAACAATCTGAAGTTTAGGTGATATTCAGCTACCACAGTATTTTGAGATAAGGTATTGTAAGTGTGCATAGTTACCATTGTTAACTAATGATGATAATTACTTGAAGAACAAACTTTGGTGTACTAGTTTTTGTGAATTTTTAGAGATACTGTTGAAAAAATATATATGTATATATAAAAAAGGTAAGTCCTTTACTTCTGTTTCTGTATATGATACAGAATATGTGATTCATTCATTTTGAACACAAAAAGTATATTTAGAAAATTTTCTTTTATTTATATTTTTTCTGTATGTTAAGTTTTTAAGCATC